CAAACCACGAAGGGCTGAAACTCCTCTTTTTGAATTGATACTGCTCCTCGATGACTAATTTTAGTCATTTCGAAGAGCTACTGGTATCACCAATCAATCAAGGTTCGGATGAAATTCCTGCTAGGTGTGGATCAAGAAATATCCTTACCGCTCAATGTACTGCCGAAATTTCGCTTATTGGAGAGCCCCGGTACGGGGTACGGGCGAATGCCTCGAGACTTTTTCCCCGGCGCACCTTACTGCGGCGTGAATTCCACAATGTGGAACTCACCATGTGGAATCGGAGATGTGAAGCTGAAGCTCAGGGTGGGATACCGGCTGCACAATTCCGTAAAGTCGTTTCGCGGAGTGGAACGTCAGAGACCCGCCGCAGTCTTCGATCAATAGCTCAGCGATTCCCTTTGAGCTTGCGCTCTCCTCGAATCCGTTGCATGTTTATGCCCTCTCTGATAGTCCTGAGCGGCTATATTTCATTCTCGATCCTGTCGCCCACATATCGTAATCTTCGGTGTATTCAACTCTGGATCCGTTTCTGAATCGACTTCGAGTGCTTCTTCGGAGTTCGCAGTGAGCTCGCGATCCTTCAACTCGCCGAGAGGGCGATATCGTTCTCGAGAGTGGATGCAGGCTTGGAGCATTGTTCCTGTCGATGGAATTGCTACGTCTAGATGATTGTTCCGTTGACGTAGTTTTCGATCGCGCACGAGAAATATCCAGGGGGAGCGCAGGCCGCTGCCGCGGTCTGTTTGGTGCGGGATCTGACGGCGAAATATTCGTAACGGTCAGGGAAAATTATTATTTCCCGCCCGAATGAACGGATCCTCGCGAATAACGTGACGTAACTTTTCGGAAATTACCCATGAGCTAGTGAGAGTTTCAGCCAAGAACTCCGGCCCTTTTTTTAATGACGTCGGTCTAACACACGAACGGATGAGCGGATGGGAGGGTGAAGATTCGGACCGCGAATCAAAGTTTGCGTGCCGTCTGAGACGCTCACGCTTCTATTCATTCGCGTTCGTCATCGAACTCGCATCCGATGCTGAAAAGACGTCCGCGACAGAGCGGTCAGCGTGAGCATGATCGATTGAGGCGTAAGCTTACACCACCTTTAAATGCCTCAAACACTCAAAGTACGACGATCTGAGCGAGCGACGCCTACACGTTCCGCGTGGCAGTCGCTGAGGCGACGGTCCGCTCGTCCTGTGATAGTTTCCTACTCAGGCGATGCTTGTCCACAGATTGAGCGAATGTTGTGTCTCAGAAGTTCACTCCACTTGACCGATAGTCTCATCTCGAAGCTCTCCGCATCCAAGGCCTTCGTTTCTGAGCGGTTAGAGCCCTGCTAGACAAACAAAACTTCTTTCCTCTTCATGTCAAGGCTCTCGCAGGGACAGATGACACGATGCCGTCTCAGGCCCACGGTGTCGGAAAACGCACGGCAGAGTCAGAAGTTGGTGTTCGACACGGTCGCGAAACGTTGGATAGTGTTCCGTTGGAAATTTGTGATTGCACCGCTGTGCGAAAATTTTCGTTCACAGCTGTGCCGCTAAAGGCTGGACATACATCGGGCCGTGGCGGGGGATCCATCGTTCTCTCGATCGTGAGAACGCTGCGATCAAGGTCGTATTGGGTGGGGGGATTTTGCTTCTCGCTTGATAAGGTGCGTATCCCGGCTTGCTCCCGTGGGCATTCGAGAGGATCATCGAGCCAATCAACTCAATTCGGTCTGTGCAGGTCGTGCTCCGGCTCGTGGGATATTGGCATACGGTGGATGATTTTCTTACCATTGAGCTCATGCCCTCTCAGCCCCCCCCACGTGATGATTCGACATTCAGGTTTCCAAACGTTCCCCATAATGACCACTACGAGGATTCAAGATTTATTTCAAAATCCATTCGCTACCCCATTTCTAAGTCTCTCGTGAGGAACCAAACCAAGAATTGAGATCAGATCGCAGCGCAGTCCTCCCTTGCTTCCCACGCGCACTAATTTACAGTGAGAATTTTCGAAGGTGTTTTTGGCTCATTAATCGCAAAAACCGTTGAGCTGAGCAGCGTTGTAGGAAGAATCGCTGCGAACGAAGGGGGAAGAATCCCGCCGCAAACCGGAAAGCAAATCAGCGGATGATGATTTCTGACGGATGGGGCCCCGATCTAGTGAGCCGCGTTTTCTGTGGCTGCTATGCAACAGTGGCCCTTATCTTCCCACTAGAAGAAGGCGGCAAAACACCTTCTTCCCATCTTCTTCCCATTTGGTCAGCAGCTACCGTTTCATCGTGAATTCTTAGTCTTGTGCTCGTGCTCGTTGGATGCGCATTCGCGCGAAAAATTCTCACCCAACCGGGCTGGTTGCGGGACCAGAAAGTTTTAATTCGTGGATTAGAGTGCGATGTGCTCGAGGACGGCGATGCTGTGATATGCGGTGACCTCAAGGGTCACCGCAGCCCCGTAAATTATTCGTTGTGATCTTCGAGAGCTCTGTGATCCGCTCGAAACGTCAGCCCTGGGCTTGGATCGCCTTGTACAGCATTTCATGTCCTTCGTGCGTTCGATTCGGCTTTGGGTGGTAAGACCACGATTTTAAATGTTTCATTGAAAATCTGATTGTACCGAGTCGGGTGCTGTCTCGAATCTCAGTCGGAGATTCGAAGTTGAATATCAGGCAGTCTCGAGCGCAGTCCCATGAAGCCGAGAATAGTCTCTGGGGTCTTGACCTTCCACTAAGCTTGGAATCAGATCGCTGTCAAGTTTCGGATCAACCGATTCGCCGTCTCCGGCTGCTGCCCACCGACCGGAGCCAGGGACCTGACCCGGAGCAGCGGCGGAACGCTGCGTAATGTAGACACTGAGCGCTCGGCGGAGTACGAATGCAACTGGCGGTAGGTACATCTCCGACGGCTGTTTGTCGATCTCGACGCGCCGTCTGCGGAGAGAATCGCTAAGAGGATTACAGCTAAGGGAGAACACGTAGCCTTCAAGCTATGTGGAAAGAAATAACAAGCTCGGCAACTGTCTCGGCAATCGGACGACAACCAGAGCGCCTGAGCGGTCGATGGGTCTGTCCGTCCGTCCGTCAGTCGACCTGATAGTCGCCGTCCGGATGGGCGTCCTGCATGATACGCGAGAGCGATACGGATGCATCAATGCAGCAATAACAAAGCGTCTCACACCATATACCAGCTCCGGGTCCGATCGCTCGAGCGGAAGACCCTCCGGGCACCGGATCGTCGCTATGACGACATTTCCGACGGCAAGATCGATATCAGACCTCCCCCCCCTCCTTCCATGGTAGATCTCCATGGATTTCAAGCAGGATTATGACCGCATCTTCCAGCGGTAAGCCGAACTCGCTCTGCCGCGGTCGTTCGGCTTACCGTTCGTGATGGAGTCTTTGCTTGATCCATGAGCCCCCGGCTTACTCAGAAGTGACTTTCAATTCTCGAAGTCAAAATTGAGGGAAGGTGAACCTGACGGAGACGACATCAAGAGCTTTGGGTGGTTTAGCGCTACCCACATATTGCAAAATCCACAGGGTGCCGAGCTCTGAGAACCCTCGCCTTCCGATGACGGAGGACCCTTGAAGGTTCCACGACGCCCGCCACCTCCAGCCGACTCGCTGACGTTATGCATATTCCCGAAGTCTCTCGATAGTCTGTTGCTTTTAGGGATAGCTTCGGTTAAACCCTATGCCTGAAAGTCTGAACCCTATGCCTCAATGCATGCTGAATGCTACCGCAACGGCTTTCTCGGGACGTTGCGTCAGAGCCTGAGAAATCCGGTCCGTGCGGTCCCATGAGATCCCTCGGTCGAGATTGCTCAGACATTCGAGGAATCGAGCGGAGCGACATTCGCAGGACGTTGCAAAGTCCCTGATTCACTTCCTGAAAAAACGGCAGAGAAAAGCATCTCTCCGTATCCACAACATACTACATCGACACATGAGGGAATTCAAAGCGGAATGCGAGTCCTCCCTGTCACTGTGCGAGAATTGTCGGGCTCGTCTAAGTTTCCGGGAATGACGTGCCTGCCTTGCTGACGGGCTCCTTTGCCGAAGGCGTCGTGAGCTCAACCGACCGCGCATTCTTGAGTTTGTAATGATCCAATTATTATGTGAGTGAGCTCACCCATCGCGGACGGATAAGTTCCCTCATTTCGACGCGCTAAGGAAGCCAATCACGGCCTCGTTCGCAGATCCCTCGACGCGAAAACCGTCGTTGGTGTTCTTCTGCATCCGTCCGATCACTCTCTCAAACTGGACGCCCAGAGGTGTTCCATATATCTTGCCGTATCCATTAAGAAAAGTGCTCGGGGGACCGATATCGAATGCGCCTCTGTTTAGAGAAAAGCCGAAGAGGAAACGGCGGAAAAGGTTGCCATCCGTCGCAGGAAAGTCATCGACGTCGTTACCGGCGACGTGGCGCCGCTGCTGGTCGGGCTTCAGTTTCCCGCCGATAACTCTAACGTGGGCGTTCCCAACAGAAATCACAATGATTTCGAGATGATAAGCCGCTCAGATAGGTACACGGACAGACGGGTGGACAGGCCGACGGGCGTTTTTCCATAAAACTACCGCCGTCCGTCCGACAAGGGGTATTCTGCGGTTTTCCAAACCGAATGACAGAGCCAGAAAAAAAGTTGATGCTTGTTCACGGTGGTGACCTTTCGGTGTGGCGGGAGGAGGAGGATTGAAGAGTGAATGGAGAAATGAAGGGATGTCTGTTAACCTCGTCGGAACTTCACGATAACTCAGCCAGTCGAATTATACGGATGCGATGCGTTCGACTCCGGCGGATGATGTAATGCAGTCGAACGCAGGATACAAGAACCTCCCCCTAATATTTTACGTTGATGCCCCCCCATTAGAATTTTTCGCATCGAAATCCGCGCAAGACCTTCGAGTGGTCTTATCTGAGGACACCATGGATTGATTCATTCGAATACAATCTCGACAGGTCGAGGAACGCCGACGCGGTGACTAACGCTCCGATGTTTTAATTACAGCCCTTTGTCTACAATGAAGACGGAGCTGCGCCCGAGCAGCCGGTCTCGTCCGCTCCCCCACTGCAGAGTTCGAAGCAGACCTTCGCCTCGAAGCGAATCCACCAACTGCTCACGGAACCTCTGCTCGCGTCCAGGGGCCAAGAACGGACGTTCTCTACCCCAACCAGCGCTGAGCAGACGGATGGAGTACGGAGGAAGAATTCTATCAATCAAGTTCTCCCATTTCTTATGAAGCAACATGCCAAGACGCTATTATCGATTCAGGTAAGCAAAGTTCATAAGAGTCGTTGACGATGTCCTCGATTTGTCTCAGGCCCGAGCTCCGGGCGAGGGGAGGGGGAGCTGCGGGTAGATGCTCGACCGGGAAGATTGAATTAGTGGTGGGCGAGTCCTTGACAGCCCGGGTAGACAAGAATCCGAGGGTCCGCATCAGTCAATCGTAAAGCCCTCAGACGCTGGAGAACGAATCCAATGATGAGCTGACGGGACTGCTTTCTCATAACCCGATTCGGGAAGGATGACGGAAATTCCCGATCCTTTCGATCAAGGTACGAAAATCGTCGACGTAGACAAGCGCTTCGGGAAACAGACGACTCGGTGTCCCATGGCGGATAGGCTGACGCGAGGGTTTACGGCACTCGAGGGTCGCATTCTCATATCGCCGCTGTACCGCCATAGGGCAATCTCGAGCGAATACGAATTACACCGCTCCGACCCAGAATACAGTGGCGATGCCGCGTCACGCACACCGCAAAGCTCGACTACCGTATTGGCTCACTCTTTTTATCTGTTCATTTCTCCTTTTCCCTGTTCATTCAATCGATGCCCTCGACTCGTCCGCCTCACTCAATCGATCGCGGAGCTTCGGTGCCGCCATGCGGATAAAAACTGTAACAAGCACAGCAGCAATATATGGAAAGATTTCCAAGAGACAGCGAGGGCTGGCTGCCTACCCCATCGAACACGATGCGAGCAGCAACTGCTCAGTGCAAATGCCGCACGCCAGGGAGTAGGCATACAAACATAAACTGCTTGTCGAACGGATGGTCAGGAAATTGACGTGTTTTTTTCTTTCTTGACATTGACAAGACACGGTTTCTTGGTTTTCATTGAGTTCGCTTCCAGCGGGAGGGAGGTAGCGTGCGCTCGCTCGCTCGCCAGTCCGCTCACGGCTGCTGACCAGCGCCAGCGCTTCGAAAGCTTGATCCGAGGCTCTTGTGGGAGATATGTATCTTTGTGTTTCCTTCCGCCATTATTTCTCGATTGCAGAAACAGTATACCGTACAGCTACTCGCTCATCTGTACACTCAGTTCGAGCAGTGGTTTTTGGGCCGGACAGACCCACGAATCCATCCATCACCGGACTTCTACTGAGACCCGTCTCGACGATGATCGTACGGCTCTCTACGCGATGTGATTTTCGCCGCTGTCTGTTGGCAGCTGCGGCGATAACTGGTGCTCGCAGCGAGCGCAGGCGGCAGACTCGCCCGTATTTGATCCAATTTCGCGGGACTTCCGCGCCAGCCTGTAAGCTAACCAGCCCGTCAGCTGGCAGAGACTTGACCTCGATAAGTTCAGACAGCGTCTGTTCAGAACAAGTTGAAGACGCCCTCGCAGACTTCTTCATTTATGTTGGTGCCGGGCGGTCCGGTCGGCGAATCCGTGGACACACACGCGAACGCTCACAGGCAAACAGAAAGAATGACATATCAAGCAGAATAAATGAGGACGGAGACTTCCTTGCTCGCTAGCAGCACAATCGAAGTCTCCCAGAACGTCTTCCTTTCGCTACCGTCGGGTGAAATAACAAATACGCCGAAACGTGAAGGGAGCCTTTAGCGGGCTCGTCATCTACATAATTGTCATTGCTATAGAATGTCCTCATTCGTGGACGATACTGATCTTTACCGCTGTCTTCGACGCTTTTGTCTGACCCACGTGCTTCCGCTACAGTTTTCTCTCCGTGATGGCTCATTTTCCTCATGGAAGGGTCCGTTGAGAAAAGCCGGACGAGTTTCTCGGAGGAAAATTCGAGTTCCCCCTAGATTCGTCTCCCTCGCCCATAAATTATTATCGGTAGCCCTTCCTCGGTAGCCGTGTATTCGCTCAGATGAATGGGGATCCCTGAGGAAGAGGAGACATTCCGGAATCCTGGGAAGTCTGCGCAGCCTGAAACTCCGATCCCACCTTTTCCTGTACGATCCAGCCAAGCAATATCAGATCCACCATGTCTTGGCGGTGTTTGTGATTGCAAAGTATTTCCGTTATGATAAATGACGGTTTCCCTGGGCTTTCCATCGATTTTCGAGAAGAAATTACCTTAGTAAAAGCTTTTATACGAAATGGTTCAAAACGCTTTCCCGAGGTACTGTGATAATCAGGGACCTCTCCGAAAGGCGGAACTTAATGCGTCAAAAATTCTAATTACAGATTCCCTGAGTAATCTAAATGAATGAACATTGCGTAAATGGTTGGATCGGGAAGAAAAATCTTTCAGACTCATTCGGTGTTGAGAAAGCTGCAATTTCAGCGTCGAAAAAGGGGAAAGTCGGGTTCCAGGAGAAAAGTGAGGGAGAGGAATGGCGTAGGATCCAAAACTTGAGGAATCGGAAAGATTTTGCCTCTCGCCGGAAGGCGGAACTTATCGAATTCGTTGCTTTTGCCGCTCGAGTAATCGAGCCAGAGAGATCGGTCGACGATTCTTCGCAGAAGACAGCCGCGTCGGGATCAAGGATGCTCTAGTTGAAAATATAGCATGGGGAAGTGATATATTACTAGAGTTTATCCAGAGCAACCCCGTATCTCGGCGTTTGGAGGAAAAGAGCAATGATTCAGAGGGCCAAGTTTTAAGCTCGAAGGGTATTCGAGGATATGCTGTCGATACGCCTTTTCTTCGTCATCCTTATATTGGAATACGTCTGGAGCTCGATTTGATCCGATGGTGACTTTCATGGCTTTTCTCGTTCGATCGACTTATTTTCCCCTGCTCATTTTCAATGCCTATTCGAGGACAACTTACCGAAGATGAGCGCAGCCGGTGGGGGTATGCATACATACTTATAATTATATTATTCCTGCATCCTGTACGCCCGGTGATTGCGACCCTTTCGCCCGCCTCAATCCGCCACGGGACTGCAAGTGTCTCGTGTGCCGGAGAACCTCGGCCGATCATAGTTCCAAGCAGCCAACGTCAGATGCGACTGGCGGCTGCTACACGTCCCCGTAGCTTCTTTGTCTTCAAGCAAAGCCAGCGTTCTTTTCATCGCACCGTCTTCTGCGTGATTTCCTCCTGGCAAACACATAGCGGCCTACATGAAGCCTCCCCTCTCCCTTTTTTATTCTTTTCCATAATCCGATAATTTTTAACGATTATCTCTTTGGCGTCTGCCGGCGTATCCGACACGTCGTGTTCTTTTCTTCGGAAAAGAGTGCTCGGAATTCAGTGTAATCTTCATGTGATCGTCGGCACCGCGAGCTTGGAGCGCTGGTTGATCGATCGTGGGAATCATTTTGCGTGTCGAGGAGGCATGGCTCTCACGACAACACCAACAATGGCACCAGATGGCGCAGAGAATCGCTGGGGTGGCATTGATCCAAGCACTTTTCCTCTTGACTTCTTATCGGAGTCAACCGCGCGCTCTTCGCTCGCCTCGTGTGCGCAACAGCCCGATTCGAATTCAGCCCCCGAGTGAGCGTCAATTGTTCCATCGAAGCAATATAAAATATTTTTTCGTGTTCTTCAGACGAATTGTTGGAGAACTAGCTTGTGTCGAAAGCAGTGAATTCGAGATGCTCGAGAATCGCAATCGGGATTTCCACTTCGTCATTCCTAGAGTATTATGCGAAAACCAAGCAGCGGACTTTAATCAGAGCAAAATGATTTCTGAGGGCCTTATTTTCGAATTTTCAGGAACTGCAAGACAGGGTGGCAAGCCTGGAAGACTTGAGTGCGAATATCCAGTTTGCGATGGACTCTTCGCTCACGAAAAATACAAACGTCACGGCCAACCCCTGGTCAGCGAACAATCTGAAGATTGAAGAGCGAACCGGAGCCAATTATAGTCAAGTTGTACAGGTCAGTAGAGAGCTTCATATCCGCCGCGGGGGTCCCTCTCAGATACTATCCCCTAAGGATTCCCGATCCGGGGATCGTTAGTCGGAAGCTACTCCGTCTTATAAGAGAAGTTCCAATAATGTGTCTCGAGCATCGGTAGCTGTTTCATATGTTCACACGTGCTGACTGATAGTCTCATCCAAAAGCATGCATTTCGCTCTGATTCATTTCCTTGAGAATATCTGAAAACTTTCGGTCCGGACAGGCTTCTGGTCCTCACGGAATCCAGGAAGAGACTCTCGGCCGAGTTTCTCTCCCCCCGTGGATTGACCAAGATTGATGACAGGCTCATACCTTTCGGTCTCCAAAGGAATTCCCTCAGATCATGGTCTTTCGACATTGCCGAACTCTTCCCGGCCGGCACACTGGATTCAACTCATCAACTCTGAGCGATAGTCTCCGTGAGAGTGTGTTCTATCCGTTGCCGACCTCATCAAGGTCTAGGAAGCCTATCGTTTGCAGTGAAAGTCGAGGAGTCTCCTGCGACCCAGTCTGGATCGAGCAAAGCTCTCTTCTTCCGCCTCCTCTCCTCGGCGGAACGGGCCTCGAAAATGTGCAAGGAGGAGACGTTCTTCGTTTCCCCCTATTCTCTGAATCGATCCCCCTAATCTCATCGATTTGCCAACCCACGGAGTCCGGGAACTAAGTTCAATAATTGAAGTATGTGTCGTTCGATTGCAGAGCTCAAAGCGGTCGGACTGCGGAGCCGAGAGCGACAAGCAGGACAGTGGACTCGAAGTTGATTCGTCTCATTCGAGAAATTCACAGACGCCGTCTTCTTCGGGAGGGCAGAATCTTCATCCGCTTAACACACATCCCACAGCACATTCTCATCCTCATCAGCTCAACCCACACCAGAACCAAGCAGACGAGCTACTTGACCTTCTCGATCAGGTACGTGCAGGGACAGCAGTGGAAGCTGCCGGAGTCAGCTGCTTATCGACTTCGAGCTGAAACACGCTCCGAACGATCGACCATTAATCAGATTGGCGAATTGAATAAGCGGCCCTTCACGAAACGGAACGACACGCAAACGGCTGCGCGAGGTGAATGGCATCGATGAGATCGTTTCCGATCCCCCCGTTTCAGATCTGCGAACGAGGAAACCATCTGAGAGACTACGCGTCGAGCCAACAGCATCTGCAGCAACTGAACTCCGATCTTGCGGGGATGGGTGACGCGCATCTGCTCAAGGAAAATCGCGAGCTGAAGAGAATTTTGCAGAAAACCGAAGACGAAAAGAAATTACTGAAAGATCAGATTCGGAACTATGAAAGTCAACTGCATCGACTCCAGGTGCGTGAGCGCTACGGCGGGAGTGGGAGCGGAGAAGTTTCAGGTATCCTCCCCGAGAACCTCCGAGCCGTCGAGGACAGGGTTCCACGTCAAGGAGCCCAGCTTCGGCCGGACTCAAAAGCGAGCAAAGATTTTCAGAGTCGCGTCAAAAATAAATCAAACTTTGTTTCTCCACGAAACGAAAAATGATGCAGCGGAAGACGCAGCAGCATTGCGGATAGACGAAGAGAAAACAGTTGTCCTGCATCCGTCGCTAGGGCTCCGTCAGTATCCCCCTGCTCCACATAAGAGCGTATCGGAAGCTTTCCGGACGAGTTGACGAATCACCATCGTAAATTCGCTCCCGAACAACTTCGCGCTCCTGGCGTGGGGATTTCCCCCCCTGACGAGAGCCCACCCATGCAGAAGTTGAGATGCGATGGTCGCTTTTATCCTCGTCTCAGGAAATGCCAAGCGAGAGAAGACAGTGGCGGAGTTTCCTTCCGCACAACTGGTTTGTTTACGGGGACACGCGGCGATACATACGCACATATGTATGTCCCTCGGAGGAGCATCCTTGACTTTTGCGAACTCCGCTCCGGATGCTCTGATGGATCAGGGGCGTTTCTGTCCTTTGCACGGCGCAATTGTTTAGTCCAACTCCCGCAGGACGTGACCTCGAATTCTGGACGGTCACTCGGAGATTGCTCGATCGCTGCAACTGTTTGTCGAATAGCTGTCCGAAGGCCACGTAATGAGTCAGGCACTTTGTGACTTGTTGTCAACGCCAACTAATTATTGGGTCTGACCTAGCGTCTAGAAATTTCTAGGAGAGTATCCCCGGCTTCTCGAGGAGCAGAAGGCAGAAATTCGATCGTCCTCGGTCAACTGGACTCGAGGCTCGATAAGTGTTCGCTTCGAGAGAGGGGAAAAGGGGAGCATCCCTCGAAAATTCGAATTGGTCGTAAACACGTTTAGGCATTGCATCGATGCTCCTCGGTGATAAGGAGGTCGACCGGTGCTATTCGAACGCGACCTAATGCGCTGGAGGAGAGTGTTTAAGTCCCTGAGTCGCTCGAGGTCGGCGAGCACATCGCGTTCGTTTTGCGAGGATATCTGAAATACAGCTCTGCTAGGGGAGTTGCTGACAAACCCCCTCTTTTAGAAAGCGAGATGTCTGAAAAATCTGCGCCGAAGACGACGACGACGACTTAATTAGAGTAAGCAGGACACCAGCTCGAGTTGTTTTCAAGTGGTTCCGACCGGGCAGCAGCCAGACCGACGAGTACGCTTGAGCGCAAACATCTCCGCCGGGAGAGGCGACGGCTATCGACTCTCTGCGGAGGCTTTGCTCCCTAGTCTTTATCGTCCGCTGAACCCTAGTCACGGGGTAGGAATAAGAATTTTCCCGATGCTTCCACACTACATTTTCCATGTACGAGGGCGTCTCTCTGCGGAATCGACTCCAAAAACAAGAGATTCCAACGATCTTCAAGTTGTACGGGAGGAAATGAGCCGTCCGTTCTTGGTTCCTAAGGCTGGGGATATTCCGTCCCGAGGGTTTACAGCTGATTGACTTGGGTACCCGTAATTTAAATGAACACAAGTTTTTTGGTTCCTCCAATGTGCATGTTCATGTACGCGTGCTCGGCTGCGCCCAGGGGCATCTGGTGCCCAAACGTGCCAATAGGCTATCTGTGCGATTCTCGCAGGCAGACGCGTCGGAGCATATCCGAGACAATTACCGGACGTACTAGCAGGTAATACTGCTGCTGCTGGTGGTGCCGCAACAGCTACAATGATAAATACGTGTTTTCGCACGTCAGGAACCCGACGGCTGGCATCCGGAGATGGGATAAAAACCATATGCGGCTCCTCGACTCGGCCTCTTCGCGAGAAATACGCGACCAGAGTCTTTTGTGCCGCATAAGTCTCCGACAATTCCGTTTCTGCCCGGTTCGTGGAAACACGACGCCCTTCGGCATCCGATGTGAAATGAGGCGTCACTGCGGAACGAGAGCCGACGACAGGTCTCTCTTGGAACCATACACAGTCCCGCAGGTGTCGCGCACCGAATCATTTTATGGTAATGCTAATGTTTTTCCCGTTTCTGCCTGTCTTCCTCAGGGTGAACGAATGGCGTATGAAGACAAACTGTCAGCGGTTTGCTTCGAGAAACGTCAGTTGGAAAGTCATGTTCGAGCTCTACACGTCAGTTGCGTCGCTGGAGGAAACTCGACCGCGGGAGTTTCGCTCCCCAGTGGACAAAACACCAGCCAAGCCCAAGCCGAATCTAGTCATCTCGGATCTTTTCAGGAGTCGCCAAGCGTCAACGATAAGGTCAGTCCGCTCTACAATCCCTAGTATGCATAATTCGAGTAGGCATTCGAGCTGAAGCCGTTTTCAACTGATCCAATTCCGCAGGTGTCCCGAGTGTTGCAGATGGATAATCCCCTGGAACTCCAACGGCAACTCATCGAGCACATCATGGACAAAGAAGCTCTCCAGGAACGACTCAAAAAACTTGAGGCTACCTGGGGAAAACGCCACCAAGATTGGAAGAAAACGGAAGAGGTTTGTCCTGGATTTGTCACATTCCCTCAAGATCATCCCGGGCGCTTCGCGGGCTCAACGGTCCATTGCTCCGCATGCTCATCGACCCGATGTATCTCACAAGCTCGCGATCTATGTTTTCTTCTAACAGGATGATCTTTGTTTTCAGGCACTACAGTCTCACGTGGACGATCTGATGGGCGAACGCGATGAGTGCATTTCGGCTCTTCGCAAGAACCAGGTTGACCTGAGAAGACTCAGATCGAGGCTGACGTTTCTGGAGAGCGCGATTCAGAAATTCGACGCAGGCAACGGTCCCAACGAAGCTCTCGACCAAATCGGCGACATGGCATTACCCCTACCTCCATGGATTCAGAGCTCCTCGCCGCGCATGGTGCAAAGCTACCACAACAATTTGGCCATCGGACTCGGTGAACGGAAGAGCCCGCACCATTCGCTCCCGCCTCGAGTCGGTGTCAACCAGGCGCAAAATACGCATGCTCTGTTCCGCAACGAAGCTCGTGCATCGCTCCTGAGCGATCAATGGCGACGGCTTTGCTCGCCTCAGGAAGACGAAGACGACCTCATGTCCGTTCACGACGAGCTCACCTCTCAAATAGACCAGATCTGTTCCGAGTTCGACCCGTTGAGTACGAAAGGAGCGACCGGTGGCGAAGAAAACCACGACGGGCCCCAGGAATACGACTCGCTCGACCTGTCGATGCCTCTGCAGCCCATGAAGCTGCATACAACGTTTACATAGATTACGCGCTGATCCGTCAACCCGCAGTGTTCCTGGACTGATTATTATTGCTGGACCATCGACGCCTTTGCGAAAGTTTGAAAATCACCCGGAAAGGAAAAACGACCGCAGAACACGACATCGCTGGATAAAAGAAAATGTACAAAAATGCTTAAAGCTGAAAGGCTCCGCAATAATAGTTGCCCGCTTTTCGGCCATTGATGAGAGCTCGGGAAGCGTTGAGTCTGCTCCTGGTCAGCTGCGATATTCTCCGAATTTCCTCATCGGAAAGATTACGAATCATTAACGGTGTGCTGGGTGGACGAACGCGAACGCATAATCTCGGAGAGTCCGAGAGCACTACACCCTATAGGCGGTATGCCATCCTTGAGTCGGACCGGCGCAGTCGACACAAGTCAGAGCTCTGTCCGGCTGCCTTTGTTTTCGAGAGGACTTTCCATAGTTCGCGGTCCTTGTTGTTCAGTTATTAAATTTTTTTCTAGAAGTAATGGGCCGGCTTTCGACCGAGCTGGAGCTCGCGCTCGTGATACGTAGCTTTTTTCAGTAGAAAGAGACACAACAGGACACAATTATCACAACGACGAAGAGAAAGACGGGAATTCCAATGATTACGATATTGGAAACGATGAGCGGAAACGATTACGCCTGTAGTTATTTATGTTGAAATCAATCGAACAACTTGCTGTGACGAAGGTCGTAGACTTGTCGTCGTGCCCTTGCGTCAACTCACATTCCACTATCTTCGTTTTGCTGATCGATGCCAATGTCCGATATTGCGCTTCAGGCGATCGAAGACCTCGGATCCTGGGCGCTTCGAACGTATGCCTTCGTCGATAGGGATGTTGAGAGTCTCCTCCAACAGCGATACACTCTTCGGTGCTCGCTTAGGCCAGCCCGACCGGGAATTTGATTTTAGCCGCTAGCCAATCGAGCAGCGATATGCGGTGGTACGCGGCTCGCGGCTCCCTAAAACACACATCTATGTATCGCTCCTCGGCAAGATATTAGAGAGTTTCCGCTCACTCATGAATTCATTAATTCGAGGTGGATTCCCGGTCTTTGTGAGTGCCTTCCCCTAGCTCCTCCTTCTACAATGATTTGAGGAATATTCTCCAACTTGGGAAGCAGTGATATGGAGGAGAGAGGCTTTGTGGAAGCGATCCTACAGTGGAGAGAAAGAGTGATACCAGCCAGATGATGGAGATGCGACCTACAGTCGTCGATGACAGCGACAAAGATGCTAGAATCACAAGAGGGCTGAGGACAACAGACCATTTCCAGCCTCGAGTACCTCGACGACGATACTATAATATCAAGACGTGAAGAAACCTCACCGCTATCTCTATTGCGGTACTGTATATAATGAAGAGGAGAAATCTGAGGATTACCAAATAAAGAATCACTATTTTAGTGTTCAATGTTCGCCTGGATGACCATTTTTTTTTCTTGATCTTCACAGTATATCCTACTCGGCTGCGTAAGGGAATATCCGCTCTAATGTAGAATCGCCTTTTATTCTAGGCTCTCCGACTACCTATTCGTAGTATAGAAATTTCCGGATGAACCCACTCCCTCCGAAATATATGATTTTTGGTTTTTCCAAAACATTTCCGGAAGTCATCCGCTGCAGGATAGCGAGGGCATCACGACGAGGTCTTCTTCCGTGACAACTTTCTCACTCGGTCAGATGAAATCCTGCCGTGCAGAGCTCATTTTCGAACCTCATAAATATCAGCTAAATATGAACAAGGCCACTTTACACAAACTCTTCTGAGTCGGTTAGCTTCGCTGTCCTGTGATGCTTACGCAGCGGAATCAGTAGGGACGGAAAGATCTCGAATCCCGTCTCCAATCGCTCGCCCTACTCATACGGAAATTGGTCGGCTTCTTCACGAAATTCCGTCGGAATGACGGCGAGGGAGCGTTGTTGTCAATGTATTCAACAAGTTTATCGGGGATCTCGTGCCCGGACCGGGTCAGGACGCCGGCGAGAGCCTTTGCGAAGGAGGCGTTTTCCTATAAATCGGAAGGGGAAGAGTGCGTTAGCATTCAGCGCTCGCTGGGGTAGCGCGAAAAGACGACACGTGGCCGGAGGCGTACCGCGTAGACAAAATTCTGAGAGGACACACAGCGCAAGCAGCTCGCAGCGAGCTTCGCGGAAAATTCCAGCTCCGTCCCTCGGAGCTGCCTCTCTGGACTTCGGCAGACCACTGGGACAAATACGATCCCGGAAGAGGGGGCGTCCGGGTCGGCATTCGATCTTGACCCGGAATTCGTCATGACGCTCATCGGGAGGAGGTCTGCCAACCGAGAATTGACATCGGGAACGTGATTCCCGAATGATGGAAACTTTGATACGAGAGAAGAGATCAGAACGAATTCTGATGTCGACCTCTGAGTTCTAGACAGAGTCAGACTCAGAGGAAAGAGAGGAGCGAGGCGCACCGACAGAAATCTCACTAAGGTCGCGCTCCGGTTCATGACGTCGACGATGGTACGAAATTAGATCAGGTGAGTTAGAGGGAGCGTTCTTGGAATTGGGTGCATCTCAACGACGACACCGACGGTATACTTTCATTCCGACCGAGTCTTGCGGAGTCCCACCTGTCGTCTCTCGCGAAATGCTAAACTAGATCTTACGTTCGTGCATTCTATCTCTGCTCGGGAAGGAGGCGAAACGAACTCACCGGCGAGAAGAAAGTGAAAGCGCGTCCCTTGGCTTCGACCCGCCCTGTGCGCCCGATCCTGTGAACATAGTCCTCGATGGTCTGAGGGAAATCATAGTTGACGACGACCTTGATGTTCTGAACGTCGAGGCCTCTCGCTGCGACGTCGGTTGCGACCATGATATTGCAGTGTCCTTGAAGAACGAATATCCGAAATGAATGAGGGAGTCCGATTCCAATCGACGAATCTTCTATCCCGGATGCCCTCCTCCGGGAATCGAGTTCCTTCATTGTTACTGTCAGTCCGCTCCTGCGACCCGATTTCGCTCTCTGTTTCCTCTACGATCACCGCACTCTATTAGCGCTCCCGAGGGCTTTCCGAAGGTGGCTTTCTCCAGAATCTAAATGTAACATTCGAGCTTTCTCCTTCCTTGAGATTCCCTCTAGAGCTGGATGAGCTCCTCCCGTCTCAGAGATTCCCACGGTTCTCCCGAGAGCGTACACTCACCTTTGAAAAGTTGTAGCGCACGCTCTCGCTTGGCTAGGCTCAAGCCTCCGTGAGATTCAACACATCTGAATCCATTCCTGATAATCTTCATCGCTAGATGCGTGACTCTCCGTTGCGTTGCCGCGAAAATCAGGATCTAAATTCGGATTCGTGTTATTGGATATCGCTGATGGTCGTCCTCTCGCTCGGTGTCCGATCACCGATCACCTCCAGCTACTCACCTTGTCGCGGCTGTTTTGCTCGAGAATATTGAAAAGGAGGTCCGTTTTCTGGTCTTCATTCGAGACGAACTGTAATTCCTGTGTGATGTTGTCATTGGCGCACAATTCCGTGGAGCCTGCCGGAATCCACAACAAGAAGGAGTTAGACATCTCCTCCTCTCCGTCATTTATTCCTCGTCCTATCCCCTATACCTAGGTATAATCCTCGGTTCTGTAGGTATCCTCGCCGGAAGCGTTTGCTCAGCCTCTCAGCGAATTCTTTGCGCGCCTCTCGGCTAGAGCCGCAGCCGCTGTCACCGCTCCTGAAAGCTGCGGCGTTTTTTCCCGCTTCACAGGTCCTAGGCCGTGTGCCCTTCGCAGGTAACCTATCCCATATCGACAATGCGGTTCTATTCGAATGTATCCACGGAGCCGCAGCACGGAACGATGAATGCGAAGCTCGTCGGCCGCGTAAACCGATAAAAGGTTGCCATGATTTCCATATCCGTCAGAATCGCTTTTGTCAATTGCAACAGACACGGCGTGAGAGGTAGCCGAGAGCAGCGAGGAAAAGCCCAGACGTCTGAAGCGGCGCGGTTGGGACTTGCCCGAGCGGAAGAAAGAGAGAGACAAACTGTCAATACTTTTACTCAAAATAACGAACATCGTGTTCCCCGATACGTGTCGACGGTATCGATGCGGCATACCTATATAGGGTGGTCTCAATAGTCGTATTGCCTGTTCTCGTTGCCTCGCTACTCGCAGCAACCGTTTTCCGGAGACCGCTCGTATTTAGGGCCGGATCTGGGCTCACAGCAAGACGATTTGCGGCTCCGGATTCCGCCGGGAAGAATAACAACATTGTATCAAGCGCAAGGCGCAATTAAGCGGTGAACTCAGAGTGTCTGGGTCATCCATGCAGCCTAGTCTACGACGCTCGACGAATCGTATAGAGCGAGGAGGCCCACACCGTCGAATCGCCATCCACGTTTGTTTTGCTGGGGCTGGCTGGGGGAAATTCGCTGTACGCCGCTCATTGCTACCGACTATTCAAGTCGACACTCGGAAGGGATGCGAGACCAAATCTCCCTCTTACTCCCAGTCTGATGTTCAATGACGCTAGTTCTGTGTGATTGACGGGGCCGACGGGAGCGTCTCGATCAGGACGATCGAATTCATCTAGGCACGCCTTCGGAAACCTCGCGTTGGAGGAGCCAAACTCGGGACCATTTCAGAGATATCGCGTTTCCCCATTTGCTACGCGATCTCGAGCCGACTGCATCCGTCTCAGAATCGAGAAGCATTCATCAAGCTAGAGGTTTGTGTTCCCGAAGATTACGGCAGATCAGACTTAATGGAAGTCTCCATGGCTCGAAACCGGAGAATGCCAGCCGCACGGTTGCGATCGAGAGAGAACTCCAACTGCTGATTTATACAATGCTTAACAAATCGCGGCATTACTTCTATCCTCATCGGTATTCCTCCTCCTCATGTCCTTATAATGAGAAGTGACATTCTCGCGGCGAAGACCTTGCTCGTTTTTCTTGGTGAACGGGAGCATTTATGCTACAACTGATTATGCTACTGAAACCTTCGTTGCCCTGATTGCTCTGCTCCTGTACACAAACATCCGATACCACTACCTCAGCAATCAATCCTTCGACGAATAACTCCCGAATTTATTCGCTGATTCGATTTTCCAGCTCGGGTTCCCTCAGCCTCTCCTGGTATTCAAGAAGTTATCTGCACGGCCAATCGCTTCTCCGCTGTCCGATTTTTCCACATTTCCAATCGCTTCCCGATCTCCTACTCTCGGTTCCGTGCTTAGCTAGGTAGTACACGTCTCGAGACACTCCCCCGACGTAAGTTCAATATTCGTTGGAGGGACATCCGTTTCGATCCGCCTGATTTTACGAGCTGACGGAGAGCGGCACCTTCCGGCGAATCATTACGCTCTGTTCCCGCCCCCCCCCTCCCCGGATCCATCCGATTGGAGAGGAGCCATACATTATTTCCTCCTCCGGCTCATTTTCCGATGGTGATTTACGGAAATCATACCCGTTCCGATTCCGGTGTAACATTCCATTGTCATACGCGCCGGTGCTGAATCAGGGCCTTCGACTCTTCCTCACCCATAGGGACGACGCCGACGGCTCGAATCTCTCATGCTCGCAACGGTCTTGGAACCAGGGGAAGTTTCCGACGGTTGCCCGAGGGAGGAAAATACTCCGGCGTCTGCCTGAAGACTGACGGAGTACTACAACGGAGCTGGAGTCCGGTCTACGTTCGCATTATACACCGTTCGACTAATCTGTTCAGCCGACTATCCGTTGATCGGTTCGACGCGGCATCCGAACCGACAGTGAATGAAAGAGGAGAACAAGGGTGGGATCAGAATTTTTTGCTCCAAGATGCTTGTTCGCTACAGTGACTACAGGATCGTATTGAGAGGAAGAAGGGAAGCGAGGGGATCGGCGTCGAGTCGAGCCTTCTACTCGAGGTCTGGGGGAGCAACTCGAGCCGTCATTGGAGCGAGCCGGGGGAACCGAGCAGCGCCTGCAACACCACAGCTCGGTCTCGGAGCGACACTCGTACTCGTATCGCTAGCTGAACCGCCTCGATATCTGGTCGCGGTTCTGATAGCATCGGTGTCGTCGACGTTCCGTGCCGTGGGCACGGTTCGCCGCAGACCGGTTTGCCATTCACCGATCCTGATCCCAGCAGCAACGCTAAGCGAAGCCTTGCCCGACTTGAGTTGCCCTCCTCAGCCAAAGCGAAAGGAGGCTATATTGGGAGAGCAAAGTAAGAGATCACCCTTCACAGGAAGCTAACGAACCTATTTACCGAGGCGGGCGAGAATGGCGATGGGAGCTGTGGGGAAGAAGAACGAGAGCTCGACCATAGACAGCACTCGCACGGCCATAAACTCTTATTTCCTCTTGGTTGGAATACCACTAAAGATCGAATATCGCCTTCCAGTGAGAGAGTCGGAGCGGATTCGGCTCGCGCCCCGAATCGGCTCAACTCGAATTAACATCAATGTCCACAATTCGAGTCGAGCCGGCGGAAATATTTATCCAGAAGAGACGTCTATCTGAGTCGGCCAGGGGTCGCACACAAGAACGATTGGAAGTAAACTCACCGATGTTGATGCGAGTTGCGTCGGCTGACATGAAATCCCTAGCGAGCGAGCGCACATCCTGCGGCCACGTGGCACTGAACATCAAAGTCTGCCGATCGGGCCTCATTGACTCTATGATATCACGGATCTGAGGTTCGAAACCCATATCCAGCATTCTGTCGGCTTCGTCGAGGACCAGGAAACTGGTGTTGGACAGCGAGACTTCCCTGCCCTGGATGAAGTCCAGCAGGCGGCCCGGGGTCGCAACGCAGATATCGAATCCCCGTCTCATGTCGTTCATCTGGAGAAGGCATGCAGAAGTCGCTGAGAACGAGCTATGCCCTCATCGAGACATTCTATTCGTCCCTAACTCGGGGAAGCCCGCGAGCAATTTCGGTGCTGAAAGGATCTCCGTAAACGTGACGATTTCTCGTACCTGCACGAGACGACTTGCTCCCCCGTAAACTGGGACGTGCCGGATTCGCATCGATGGGAGCAGCCAATCCGCGGACACGCTGGCGATCTGTTGGACGAGTTCACGAGTCGGAGCGAGGACCAGGGCGGTGGGACCCGGGTGTCCAACGTTCGGCTGTCGAACGATGTGCAAGGCAGACGGGACCAAGTAGCCAAGGGTTTTGCCGGATCCAGTTTGAGCAACGCCTTGAACGTACGTTTCGATAAGGGAAAAGGTCGAGGGATACGAGTGCGATCAACAAGAGACGGGAGGTCTCCCGTCACCTCTGGATGAGCCCAGGAAAAAAGAGAGAAGATGGAAGTCCTTTCCTAGAAGGAAGGACAACTTGCGCTTCGATATAGGGCACTTTGATTTTAGGAGAGGGTTCCGGGGGGGATCATGCGACACGCTCCCAGCCCACTCGGAGGAATCCAAGTCGCCAAAAAAAGTACAATTAACGAATTGCCAACCCACCTATCAGGTCCTTCCCCTTCAACGCCAACGGCCAACATAGACTTTGGATCGGGGTCGGTGTACGAAGTCCCCGACCCGCGAAAAGTTTGCTCATTTTTTCCGGGAGCTTGATTTCATCCATCGTCAGCACAGGATTCGGAGCATCGCCTGTGGGAAGTAGCTGTTTCGAACTTTGCCTCTTTCGAGGGAAGAGACCCACTCGTAATCCCGTACGAACGAACCTTTGATAGTTACGTTGTGCTTCTTCCTGAAATCCTCGATTTCGTCGGCGCTGCGAGACGCCGTAGTCTCACTCTCTTCGTACACATCCTTCACCACTTCGCGGTGCCTAAGCGGTGCGGTGTCATCGCCATCTTCGGCATCCCTTAAGGATCGTTCCGTGGATGTTCTGTAAGCGCGACTGAGGAAAACGGGCCGGAAGAAAACGCGGAGTTTCAACATTCTGAAAGAGGAGAACCTATTAGACATCGAGGATCTCGTTTTAGGCTCGTGAAGCGTGCAGCGACGCCGACGTCTGGCTCAATTCTGGTCGAATCACCTGCTCGGCAATGCACCCCGAGCATACTCGGACACCGGAGATACTTGGAGCTCGGGTTTGAGAGTCACGAGGATCAGGGAAGAAGGCTGCCTCAAGGTTAGGAGCGGAAATCCATCGAATGGATGTGGAAATCGATATCGTTTCGCATGAGGTCGTGGCTAAGCGTATCTTTGAGCGACAGGGCCCCGCGACACAGCCCTGCCCCTGACTCACGATGTGATGCGCACACAGTTTCCCGGACTGAGGGGGGGCGAAGCATCGTCCCTCTCCCTCTTTCATTCTGCATTGAGTCCTCCCATCGTCAATCATTATTTTGATGGAAAATTTTTTTTCGGCGGAAGATACTGCGAAGTCACATATTTCCCCCAAAATATCCGTTTCTCGCTCAGATGAGGAGGAGAGAAACGGCAATCGAGTCAGGTGTGCGAAAAGCCAGCGGTAGACTTCAGAGTACCTAGTTGTGCGAGCCGGTTGGGAGCCAGGGCGGGGAGGAGGGAGAAATGGACACTCCTGTGGAAACTACGTGAGGAAACCAACCATGGTCCACTAGTCGAATCGCTATCATGATGAACAGCATCGGCGTTGGCCGCTCCATGACCATGAGACCCGACGCACAAAGAGCAGGCGGAGCGATAGAGGGACTCCCGTTCTCCGGATAGAATATCGTCGGTACGTCATCCCGCTCCGACGCATCAATGCTCACGAAATCAAGAAGTGTCGGGGGTAGAGACGCATGTCTGCTTCTCCGAACCGAAATTCTTCTGGCGAGAACGTCATGATTGGCGACTGAATCGACCATCACCGTACTCCCTGAGGACAAGCTCGGAACGCTCCCGTTGTCCACAATTCCATCCGAATCGGCTCGACTCCGTTTCCGATGGAGCTTCCCCAGTCGCTGTGGTGCACCATGGCTATCAGAGATCAGAACCGTAGGGCTGACGCGAGCTCATCTCGTCGCACTGTTCAGCCCCGCGCCGGGGCACCGTGCGCGATCTCACGGATCATAGACATAGATCAGCCTAAACAGAGTCCCTTAACTTACCTGACACTGGTGGTCACACGCTCACTGATGATTGAACAGTTGCGAGCACGACCGCTTCGGAGGGATAGAAGTATTCCCGGGAATTTTCACTAGAATTTCAGCAGATAATCGATCCGCGCACAATCAAGGTTCCCTCGTTTCCTTCACCAGCCAATCCTCGTGGGTCGCTTGTTGTTATGGCACATCTTCGTACCACAGAGTGCTCCGTGGTGGTTCAGCCTTCGGTCTTGAGACCCACGCAAGATCCTCCCGAAACTCCGTCCGACGCATTACACCATGAGACGTAGCGAGCACGGAGGAAATCAGATCATCTCGAAGCTCACTGATTTAATCCGATGATCGTGTGGTACCTTTTAGTACCACACACAAAAGAGCGCCGAATTCCAAGCGCGTTCCGGTTTCGGTGAGATTTTTGGCGGACACTTTGCGCGCCTCTTGCGATCTCTCGGTAGCGACACTGAATTCGTGAACGCACTTCGACATAACCGCCGGAAATAACTAGAAATAAAGATGTTCGAGGCGAAGTTGCTCCAGGGATCTGTCCTCAAGAAGACTCTCGATGCAATCAAGGATCTCATCAATGAAGGTTCGTCAAAACTTGCCTCATTCTTCCTGAGCCTGCTCCATGATACGGGACCCCGAACTCCAACTGGGAAGCTCCGCTTTTGTTGCTGCTCCAATCGAGAGTTGCTATCAGTGTTATCAGAAGATGGCGTTCTGGAGCCGCGCTCGAAAGCCTATGAATGCATGCGCTGACGTACAGGGAGACAATCCATAATAATCTGCGGATCATGTCGCATGTTTCGAGCCCGTTTGGATGCAGGAAACGCTCATCTGCTCGCCTAGGTCTAAAAGTTGATTTCCGGGCCTAGGGTCTCATTGTAGTTAGCAGCTCGAGCTCGTCACGTTTATGACAACACTTGTCAAGTCTGAGTTGTTTCGAGCGTGCCCGGGCATGTCCGGCCGGAGCGGCGCTATGATTTTCTGACACAGTCCTATCGGCGCTCTCCCCATTCCTGTGTCCGTCCCCATGACATGCGAGACTTCAATGATAATGAAGACCTGATGACGTAAAATCTGTCCCGTTCAGCTCGGTTCCGACCTTGTCAGGTGCGCGTGTCTCTTTTCGCGCGCTATATTTTGAGTGCTCGGCTCTCAAACTCTTTGCCTCAGCGGTCTTGACGAATTCTTAGAGTGACGCCCTCAACCATTGGCTACGTATCTGAGAGTTGGGCAGCCGTTCATCGACCTCTGAAGTCCCCATCAGTGTCTTTCCCGATTGTGCCGGCCCTTGCCGAGGTTGGCGCACCTCTCCTGTCGGGACGAAGTGACGGAATGAGTACTCGCTCATTTCTGACGTGATCTCTTCGACGTGGGCGCTCTTTCATTCATTACCAAACTCTCGAGCGAGCGCGAGTTTGAGGTTATCATAGGATGCGACGCGCTCGTCTGCCGGAGTATGCTGCTTCTCAATAAATTAAACGTCCGTGCTTTCAGGAACATGGGATTGCAGCGCTGCAGGCATCTCCCTGCAGGCCATGGACAACTCCCACGTTTCGCTAGTGGCGTTAAATCTCCGAGCCGACGGTTTCGAGAAGTTCCGGTGCGATCGCAACCTGTCCATGGGAATGAATCTCTCTTCGATGGCGAAGATCCTCAAGTGTGCCGAGAACAATGACGTCATCACCATGAAGGCACAGGACGACGCCGACACGGTGACGTTCGTGTTCGAGGCGAACAACCAGGAGAAAGTCTCCGAGTTCGAGATGAAACTCATGAATCTCGACTCCGAACATCTCGGCATTCCCGATACGGACTACTCGGTCGTAGTCAAAATGCCATCGTCGGAGTTCCAGCGGATCTGCCGAGACCTCTCGCAAATCGGTGACTCCGTACAAATTACCTGCACAAAAGACGGTATCCGATTCGCAGCTGCCGGTGACTTGGGCACAGGGAACATCTCTCTGAGTCAAACGGCCGAAGTCGACAAAGAAGAAGAGGCGGTCATCATCGATATGCAAGAAGCTGTCACGCTCACATTCGCTCTCAAGTAAGTAATTGTCCGGGACTTGCCTGCGAGCGATTCCGGGAGCACTTCCTTTGTGTCTCGCGTACGAAAATTCCGCTTAATAGCGGAGGCGAGCAGCAAATGAGTTCATGGACACGTGTCCAGGTGATCACCCTGGAAAGTGGCCAAGTTGCTCTGACAAGCGGAGGCGCGCGCGAATCTCCCTAGCTTTCAATTAGCATAGAGGTCATTAATTCAAGTCGTCTGAGTGCTCCGAAATCCGAGTTACTTCTGTTCTTCTGGTCTTTCCCCGGGAATAAGTTCGCAATGAGCCTCGCTAGCGAACAAGCCAAAGCCGCCTGTTCCTGGAGTCATTCCCTCTTTCGTCACGGCTCTAGCGTCTTAGGTATTTTGCCGCGATCACGTCACCTGCTGCCTCGGCTATTTCGAGGAACACTCGCTCCGCCGTTTCGGAAACGGTGACCTGTGCATCTCCGTGAGTGGATAGTCATTAGGAGGAGCAAGGACGTTCCGGCCATTGAGAGAGGCACGATTAGAAACCGTCCGGAGAGAATTGGCATCACGCACTGCCCTGTGATTCTTGCTCCATTCGGAGGTAAGTTGCGTGTGGGCTTCACCCTCTGAACGGGCGATTCTCCAGTATCGGGAACCGGCGCGGATAAGAACTCCGGGTTGCGCGGTCGCAGATTTCGATTCGGGTACCAGACGGCTGGATAGTCCATGAACCATGAATATCCTGGAAAGGCGTACATTGAAATACCGTATCGGAAAATGCTATTTCGCTTACGGAGCGTGTCTTTCCCGCATCGTTCATGACCGGACGGGCATAAACCTCGGAGCGGAACGGCTCCTGCGTCTTGGGACCCGGGACATCCGGAAGCGGCCCGCACACTCCTGAGGACGGTTCCCAGGCAGACTTTTTCGATTCAAGGACTCCCGAGCGTCCAGCCACTCGTGGTGTTGTCTTTGAAAGTCTCTAATGACTCTAGGTCGGTCTCTCGATCGGTTTACTGGGCCAGAGGCAACGTGTTGCTAATGAGGGACTAGTGATTGTCTTCCCGGAACTCCTCAATTGCTCTGTCACTTGGTGCGCCCTGCTTCGGAACAGATCATACTATGGTGAAAATTCTCATTGTCGCTCTGTTTTCAATTTTGAGCTAGACGGAGAAATCGAAGTTTCCGCTCCACTGCCGCCGTGGCTCTCGGGAGCCAACCATGCCTCCGGCGATCGCGGTCTCTCATTAAACGCCCCTGTGTGCCTGTCGTTATTCAACTCTGTCACCTCATTCATCTCAAAACCGACTAATGTGATCAAGTGCTGGGACGGGATGTGCGTGCCCCGGGGATCACTCGAGCTGACACCTGCATCTTCCTGGCGAACGTATTCTGTCTGGGCAGAATCGGCCTCCGACTACAGTTTTTTAGCCCCGAATCAATATTGACTAATTGAGCTCGGCCGTCCTTAGCCGCTCCACGAGGAGCCCATCGGGTCCATGGAGGGTCGCCTCCGCGACCGGCGAGCTAGTCGTCTGCCATTTCAGAGACCTGATCACACCAATCATCCACCCAATCTGACGGCCTGATCGAGCCATGAGCGGAATATTCCAGTCATATGCGAGCAATCATTTATTGGGAACCCATACAACTGGTATTTGTCACTCGCAGCGAGGATTATCGGAATGCACGTACACGTGATTTGTGGCTCCTGCCGGGACTGTTTCCTATCACACAATCAGACGCTCGCTCATTTTCTCCCCGGTCTGTCTTAGATCCGCCTGCTTGTCTCATAGGTCGCCATGATGCGCAGAGGGGATAATTTTTGACTCCCCCTCATATCATAAAAGTGCATTCCATATCGATGGAATCGAACGTCGTCGTGGAAAAGGTACAATAGTTCACGAACGTTCGAGATACCATGAAAAAGTGTCTGTACCAGCTTCGAGTGTCTTTGACCGCGAGAACGTTGCTCCCTACTCCACGGAGTCGAACTAATGTCCGAAGCAAATCGGAATTCAATAAAGACGAAGTGGGATGCCCGCAGGTTCATTAGGTCGCCCGCCTTCGCGGCCTACGGGCTAGGATGAGATTTACTACACCGTGAATAGATTTTTATTCGCGGACCCACAGACACCCGAAGGGCCTCGGCCCGGAGTCCGGCTAGGACAACGATCCGCGATCCTCGTTTCCATGAGCTCCGATCAATCGCGAGCTGACGCGTTCCCTGGGGTCTCATTCTGGCTTATCCTTTCAGGTACCTCAACTCGTTCACCAAAGCAACTCCGCTCTCTGGACAGGTTTCCTTGTCGATGTCAGCAGATGTTCCCCTCGTGGTTGAATACAAGATCGAGGATATGGGTCACCTTAGATTCTACCTTGCACCTAAGATCGATGATTCCGAAGATAACTAAGCGCTGTGTATTTTATGCTCCGAGCAAAAACGTGAGACATGATCGATTCCCATGTGAACGGCATTTTTTCCGCCTTTTATCTGGTCGCTTCATAAAAATGATCCATTCCGTACAGATACATGTCTCCTCTTAGTTGTTCCTTTGTACAGGAAGTCCAGCTGCATAGCTATCGATCAGCGAAGGGCCTGAAGCATTGTTGTGATAGCTCGCGTATGTGTCGGCAGAGAGCTACCGCCCTGCTATCGATCCTTTCAGAATATGATCAAGTTTTATTACTCGATGTTCGACCGAGAAATTCTCAAGACGAGTACCTACAGAGATAAATTCGGCATGGATAGAAGAAAATCCGCGGCGAGTCGATGTCGAGAAATCATTTCAAGCGCTCACGCGAGATCGAACACCCATCAGATGCCGAACAGAAAGATATTAGAGCTTTCCAGGCCTCGGTTGAGGATTCTGCGGAGCTGAGCCGGATCTCGAGCAACTATGGTCGATTCATTCGTCTACAGGCAGTCGAACGACGCGTGACTTCCCTCCACAGGCTCTCCTTTCGAATATTTCGTCAGGCAAAGCTCTTCCATGCACGGCAGGCAGGTTTCGATTTCCCGGATCTTACAGACGCATTCCGCCTCGGCAGAAGCCAACGCGCGTGTCACGTGGGGATGAGCTTGGAAGCAATTCCGATTGGGGAGCAGTGAAAGATGCGGCTCCGAAACAGTTTGACGTCGCTCGTGAGAGATCGGCAAGGGAAGGCTTTAGCGTCGAGACTTCGAGATGGGATATTTCGATGGGACAGGAAATCCATACTCACCTCGAACAAAGGACCTCCATCATCTCCCCGTGGGCATTGAGAAAGAGTTCGGAACAACCGCTCGAGTCGGCTCGAGGGAAACTCCGGAGACTGGATCTCGAGTCGAGGATACAGATGGAGCCTACATCGGAAGAAATTTGAATACCCCATCAGACTGTTCTAGTGTGTCCCAGCGGGGGGGAACAATCGAGTTCGGGTTTCTCTCCGTTCCATGACGAAATTACAACTCCGAAAGTTAATTTCTCGCCTGTACGACAGTCTAGGTCCTAGACTCTAGTCGGCGAACTCCCGCGCTCTGGATCATGGGGGCTGAGCGAGGCGACAGACCGAAAGTCTGTTCCACACTCTGTCTGGCTGCGGGTCGTGACCCTCCGGTGCTAGGAGCCGCGACCAAGTCCCCCATAGTGGATGGCTTGATTGATTCGCTCGATGACGGCAGTACCTAGTAAGTCTCCTCGTGATGGAAACTCAGAGTCACTCTCCACTCGATCAGTGAGAGCTGGAGCGCAGTCCTCCTCGGTGACTTGCGACCTTCCGACCTGGGACGTCCCATCCCAATTCAGTCGAGAGCAGCATAGGGAGTTGGATGAGCTCCAGGAGACCAACGAATGGATGTCAGGATAGAACGATGGAAATCGATGGGCAAGCTGCCTCGAACCGACTCGAAGCTTATCAGATACTATATCGAATAGCAAAACGCTGAAGCATGTTCGTCCATGGTTGTACCTTTTCGGCGGGAGATGGAAATATAACGTCTCCAGGTGTCGCTGTCGATGAGGGATTTCATTCTTCCTTCTTCTGATTCAATTGATCAGATTTCCGACCCCTGGGGCAACTCGCTTGGAAGAAATAGATTCTGAACTTGAACATCCGAGCGTTCGAAAAAAACACACTGCTCACGGAAGACTCCCTGAATGATTAGCGGAGAGCTTCCCAATTAGGTCGATTACAACTTCGATCAACAGTGTGTCAATCGGCCAGCATACGGTAGATCCCTAATAGGTCATAACACGTTCGCAGAGGGCGGATGCGACGTGGGGGAAAGCTTCTGCGACCTTCTTCGACTTTCGTGTCCTCGCTGTCGACATGCATTCGACAGAGCTTATTTGCCAAATTCGCTCTTCATGGCAGAGAATAGATGACAGCGCCTGCAACTCGGCAGACGACGATAATATGTTTTATAGATGCTTGGCGAATACGGTCCGCGCCACGTATCGCATCTTCGTACGTTATAGTATGCGGGTCTGCTGGAAATACCGACGAGATGCTCGCTCGCTGTAGGGCTTACCGTAAGGAGTCCATGCGTCCATACATAGAGAAGCCACAAACAGATGTTGCAGCACACGACGCCCGAGATCAATACAGGAAAAGACTTTCTCTTGCATGCTCTGTCGCTTATGCGGTTCTCATGGACGCAAGCCCCGATGCTCCCGGGGTCTCTCTTCAGTTTTTCCTCAGCATCGGTTGTAGATCGCCATGTCTTGCCCGGAGGACTTCTATTTCTTCCCCTATGATGGCTTATTTGGATTGCATTGTCAATTAGGGTCTCGGATGGCTGATATCTATGTAAGATAGTGTTCGGACCCGGACGATTCGCGAGCCGTTTGCATGTCATTTTCCTGCTTGCGCAAACACACTAGTGCAAACGCGTTCCGTCACAATAATAGCACGAGAGAGCGGTTCGGTGACTCGAACTCTGGATTTCCTTGTATTCGTCGAGCCGATGTCGAAGTCTGTCAACTCTGTTCCCGTCCACTCCATCGAACTTGACGAACGGCTGTCCGCCGAAACCAACTTCCTCCTCAGATGTGCACAGAATTCCTGCGCTAACGCCTGATCGACGAACTGATGCTTCTAAGCTCTGCTCACTAGAGAGGAGAAGCCGTCTTACTGAGGGATCTAGGTATATCTCCAACGGAATTTGTCAACCGTTGTGCAAACCGTCGACCCACCGGCCAGCTTTCTCGCTCCGGCCTCGTCCATTCACCGTTGGCAAGATTCCTGATTCTCGACGTAAGCTGCTCTAATCTGCAAAAACGCGAATCTGGGTATCGGCAATCCTCCGTTCGGAGATAACCTCACAATGCGAGGAATAAACCTCTTCTTTGTATAAAAGCGTCTAGAGCCGGCTCGTCGTCAATAGCAGAGGGCTTCAAGTTTCTGTTGATCGGGAAAGAACTTTCCCATGAAGCGGAAGCTCAGAAAGCGCATCTGGTTCAATCTGAAGTGGGCAATCCTAAACCGTGCGCGCTGCTGCAACGAAAGAATATACTTACAGGAGCGGGAATCCGATGCTCCACATTTCATATATTTTTCCTCCGCGGCATAGTCCCTCCCGTTTCCGATTCCTTCTATGGCTCGGTGCTCTGGCCTCCGTTCATCAGCATATCGTATGGGCATAAATCTATGTCCTGTCTATGTATGGCGATATTCTGCGTAGCTCCCCCGCTTGTGTATTCCTGTGTAGAGAATAGATTTCCACGTGTCTGGGCGAAGCGGAACGCGATTAAGGGACGGGCTTGGGGTTGAGGGCGCCGGCTGCATTGACTTCGGGGAAGCCGACAGCGACCTCAGCCAAACTTGTTGGCAAACGATCGCAATGAGTCCCCAGGAATTAGGCTCGTTGGAATGCCAACAGCGCATACCCGCTCACGTGTATTTAAGGTAATTTCTCCGGTCGTCTATCACGTCATAGGGACCAAGTCGCTTCAAGGAAAAATGCAAATTGCGGCATTCTGTAGAAATAACTTTGTGTAGGCTTCGTAGCGAGCGCTCTCCGAGGCCAACGCTTCGGAGGCCAGGAGAGGCTAGAGCTCATTACCATATTCGTTTTGAGACAATTGGATCGCCATCCAGACTGACGGCGCTACAGACTTGATCACTTTTTAAGTTCTTGTCTCTGGCATCCACACGGCACTCCCTTGCGAACAGATTGAATGGTGAGCAGAGCTCGAAGCCAGCGACAAAATATGTATCTTCAGGGCTCCCCGCGCTGAACGGCTTCTCTGCAGAATCGGGCACGTCCGAGTGCCTCCCAGGGATGATCTCATGGTTTCGTGAGATTTCGTTGCCCCGGTGCCATGCGCTCATGTCCATGTGATATCTTATTCCTGGTATATTGCTCCCTCGCATACAAGGAACAATTCAGAGGTCGGTTTCGTGTTCGCATTTCGAGCCGGGACCTCAGGCCGTGCGCCGGGAAAACTATCGCATCTTTCACCTTTCGCCTTTAGAACTCGTTGGCGTTCACTGTCAGAGTTGCACGTTCGTTTCCTTCGCGTGACACAAAACAACAACGTACGTCTGCCGACGTAGCCACGCTATATTCGGAGCTGCTGCTTTCTCCCGGAATTGGGCTGATTCGTGGATGTTTTTCTTGAAAGAGCATTCTGGCATGATCACCGATAGAAGCTCCTTCCGAGAAACCGACGGTCAAAGTGTTCCTTCTGTCTGTTCCGATATGAATGCGAACAGACAAGTACAAACAAGAAGTGACTTGGGGCAGGACCCCGGAATTCGTGGCAGTTGGACCTTTTTACGCATTCAATCGACTCTGCGTCTGCGTGTCTATAAGCAAGCTCGGCAACACACAGGCGCGTCCACAAGGGGGCCCCTCTGAGATTGAGCGTTCGTAATCCTAATGAGGTATAGGAGCGAAGACCCGCTCTAGTCGCCCTCCGATGAAAATCCTGCGGCCGCCACTGGCAACTAGGCATGCTCTCCGATATCAGAGATCCGAATCAGTCCTCGGATCGTGCTCGGTCCTGCTTGACACATAATCGACCGCTAGCTTCACTTCCGGAATTCAACTCAAAGCGAAGCTCTCCTACATCGTTTTTCGCGTCGTTCCGCTTTACCTCTGCGATTGACATCGACCGCGGGGTTCGGTACTGGGGCCGTGAGGCTTCATTCCGTATGAATATTCTACGCCCTCCCATCTCGTCTGAATTGAAGGAAGCTCCCGCGTCAATCGAAAATAGACGTCTATGAAGGCCGGCCTGCGACTGCCTATCGGTTGCAGAACTTCTTGCCCTCCGATTCCTGGATTAGTTTCCCGGTCGAATGTTCCGATGATATCGCGTCCTCCAACTTTTGGCGAGGAAGCAGCTCCCCCGATGCGAGACGGGTAGTCTTATTTCGATCTCTCCCAAATGATTGATCATCCATCGATCACCAGGTCTAGATGGAACAATGGCAAATGACAATCGTCTCTTCATTTGGAGAGAAATCGGGATCTCCCGGTGGGCGCGTTCTGGTTCAGAGGAACGGAGTGGTGCTCCGCAGAGCAACATTCAACCCGCTGATGGGTGAGTCCTCCTTGCTCGCAGAGTCCGGTTGTCTCAAATGAAAGGCAGCATGCACGCAAAGGCCTCTGCACCGGCAACCCATTGCTGGAATGAGCTTAGATCGGACTATAGGCGAGGAAGCCTCCCCTCCCCCGGAATGTTCAACAAGGATCTTGACTGGCATCTCTGTCGGGAGCGGCCACTACGCGCTGAGCGTTGTCAATTGCCAGAGTGAGACGGAGGAGTAAAGCCTCGGAGCTCCTCGGCATCCGACATTGATCTGCTTCATCACCTAGTCTGGAACCTGAGTCCGATAGTGAACAGATTTTCTCTGTGGTCAATCCCATTGATGTTTCTAAATGATAGACGTTTCTGAACAGGAGTGCTTGGGAACTGGAAGAGTTTGTGTTTGATATAACTCACTGATTGTTCAGTTGGTAGAGACTGGATCTGAAAGTATCCCGAGGGGCTGGAAGATCATGGCACATCAATGAAACAGTTCGATCCTCATCGAGCACGGACCATGTACATATTCCTTACTCTTTCGCCGGAAGACCACCGAGCCAAGAGGAGATCTATCCGGAGAGGGTGGTGGCTCAGCGCATTCATGAGTTGTGGGCCGGCTAATGGATTCTCTCGAGCTCTTGTCGATGTGTGAGCAGTCTCAAAGAATCGGTATGCTCAGATTCGATGGGAGGTTCCAGGATGTCCCCCCCCCGTTCTCCGTGACCGCCCCGAGCGAAGCTATCTTACGTGTGGACTTGCATACATAATGAAGCGCGAAAGGGTGTGACGTTCGCCGGGCTTACAAGTCCTCGTATTGTTTCGTAGTTTTCGACGTCTTCGTCCTGTCCCAGTGCTGAATCGATCTGATTCTCGCGACGAAAACGAGCGGCCCTCATGCGAGAGCAGAGAGAGTTTGGAGTTCGCGAACACTAAGTCGGTCATCCAGATCCCGGTCGTATTCTAATAGAAACGTTGGGAACGAAGTCAAGCGAGGCGAAATTCGCATACAAATAGAGGTATTAGATTCTCCGATCGGTGTTCCCGTTCCATCAATTCCTGCTTCTGCTCGCCTGGGAGTTTTTCTCGATCATGGGAGTGGATCTTTCGCACGACACGAGTTCTCTGTCGGACTGACTTCGGGCCTTGCCTAGTTTGATCAATTTAGCTTTCGGCGCGCCGGTCTGTCTGTAGCATTCTCACGAGAGGAAAATTCTGTGAATATCGTCACCCTCAAACGTCGCCATTCGTCAGACAGTCAATCTGGATGACTCTTCCTCGGAGTACATTTCGTTGAGTTTCTCTGAGGGCAATCCGCGAATTGCCTCCGCATCCCCCAAAAAAGCCTACCGGGGAGATTCAATGGAAGAAATGAGGTCGCAGTCTTCATCGCTCGCTCCAAACTAATGGTGGGAGGACGTACGGAAAAAAATCGCCTAAAAACCGGAGCTATCGGCTAACATAAGGATTCCGTCACGACGGAAGGCTTTGCAACGGAGCGGTAAACCATTCGAAACCTCCCAGAGCGCTCGACAGACTACCGAGGGAAAAACGGATCGGGATTGATGTTGTTTCCGGCAGGACCACCGACCTCGTCACCAGGCTTGGGTTCGCCCATACATCCGACTATCATCGCGAAATTCGGTCGCGGGAGCTGTCAGACGACTCTCGCGACCTCGTAGTTTCTGATCTTCTCATCCGTGGGGAAAGGGGGAGAAGAAGTCAATGTGAAGCGGAAACTCTCGCAGGTAGGGATCCCAGTCGTTTTCTCCCTTGCGATTCTCGTGGCGGTGGTACCGTACACGTGGAGAGGGATAGACGCCGGGAGGGGCCTTCCATTTTTGTCCGTCGCCTGCTAATCAATGCGATGGCTCGCGGCCGCCGTTGATGGAGATTGAAACGTGTCCGCGGCAAACAAAGCGGACGTGTTGCGAACAATGCCGACGGAGATAGCGACGTCCGGCGATGTTTCGTTTGCAAGTCGAGACTCACTCCTCATTCAGTCTGTTCGTCAACCCGATAAAAGCTTTTGTTCACGCCGAGGAACCCTTCGCCTCGCGCTCTTGCGCCTCGCCTACCTCCTACTGTGGTTCGTTAAGAGACGTAAAGCTCGCTGCGAATCGATGAGCCTTTCAGAACACACTCGACTCCCGGCGGATGCGACTCAGCGGAAAAAACGCGTCTACGTTGCTCGGATGATGCACACCGAACATGGCTTTACTCACTCGCTAACACATTTGGCCGCGGAAGGGGGAACGGGGAAGGGCTAAGGGGGAGGGGGGAACGGCGGCTGAGTTTTCCGCATGAGACCTCGTGAGCATGTTTTTTATTAATCGAATCCCAGGCCCGGTCTAAGTATGAATGGAATCTCTCCGTTTGACGCCTCGGAGTTCAGGCGTAGGAAAAATCAGTCTGTAATCGATTCCGTTGCCTCGGATGCTCTGATCGATTCTTGACGTGCGCGGAATCGTTCTCCAAAACTTAAAATCTCTCTTAGTCCCGATTAAGATGTCTGCCTGTCACCGAATCTGTACAGGGGACCTCACTGGACAGCCTCAGATTTTGGGAGGATTCTCGAAGGCTTCATATCGCTCCGATTTCGGTTCTGATTACGAGTGCTGGCCATTTCGAAAGACATGACACAATCGAGGCTGACTGTTCGATCAACAGAGCAACCATCCGACGAACCCACCGACGACGGGACTCGATAGTGTCTACGGAGATTACTTTGCCAGGTCAGTGCCGACAGTAATTACAATAATCTTCGCAGCGCTCGCTGCTGTAGCCTCATCTCGGCGCGAGCGGTGACGTTTTCATCCAAAGCGGCTGGAATTTCGCAGATAAGGAGCGTCCTGGAGACTGTCAGCTTCCATGTTTGCGGCGGATAGCTGCTCGCTGACCTGAAATGATTGCGGCCACCGCACACGGCTCTTTTCCTTGTGGTCGTCGAAGTTCCGCGATCTCGCTTTCTCTTACGCTGAACATCGTTCCCGCCTCCGACGGTGCGCGGGAGTAGAGCGAACACTCTCCGAGTCAACAGTAGGATTCGATCGGCGACGTTTTATTCATTATTCATGAAGATATGTCCCCCCGAGGTGTTTACATCCGGAATCGCATGCATTCGAGTTTTTTGATGGAAGCAGCAGCGACAGCACCTTCTCGTTATCCGACTACGAGTAGGAATCCTTGTTTTGGACGACCGACGACGCGACGCCACGCGGAACGACGGAGTCGCTTGTCAGGATTGCGGAGTCGGCGGGATAAGTATTCCATAAACTTGAGGACAGCCCAGCAGCATTTGCGAATTAGACGGATAAGAATCATGATTCGAAGGCGGTGTCAACGCGTACCTCCCTCCCTTGGAGACCTCTCCTGTGCCTTTCCCTACACCTGAGGACCTCTTCCGAAGAAGAGGACTCCGAGGAACTCCCGAGGGTGTCTACACTGTGCACCCGATGAAGTTTCTTAGTGATCTCGGCCAAGGGCACTCGACAAAAAGAGGTACTCTACCGATCCTAAGAATCCGAAAATGTTTTGACTATTCAGGGACGCCACGGTGTGAAGATTGGAATTGCCGTTGCGGAGAAGTTTTCCACATCAACGGTTTCCGATAGAAGTTCCCATTATCCCGATAGAGTCGATGTCCGGCGGGGTCTCGAGTAACCTGCCGTGACCGGGTGCCTGTACCGCCGACTCGAGGCATACGGAAGTAGGTAGAACATTGGCGCCGGGGATATCTGACCGAGCCTCGATACAGCGGCGATTCTCTGGAATATTCGTTTGAAGCCGAGAGGGAGGTCATCGATCAAGCACTGGGTTGGATTTACTCGACACTATGCAAGGGAACGGATGAGCTACGAAGAGGATTGAATAAACATTTTCTCTTGATTGCACGACCTGGTAACTGTTTTATTCCCCGGTTCTCCGATGAATATGCGAAGATGCCGTAAGGTCGCGAACATTCTCTTTGGAATGGAACTGTTGAGACGTTTGATGCCCCTCGTAGGTCTATCTGACATAGATGATCAATACATAACAGGCGGAATAAATAAAAATGAGATGAAGTGAAAACGCTTCTCCACAATCCTCGATTCTTCAGTGAATCAATGAATTCCGATGATCCTCAGAAGACGTTGACCTATAGTTTCCGGGCAGGATCGGAACACTACGCCGCAGTTCTGATGCCGTAGAGCCGTAGCGATCGCGTTGTGGTATTTGTCCATGCCGGGGATGCGCGGGCTGAAAGGTGAAGTAGATCCCGCTGCTGATGTGTTTATACATAAGTGTTTGTCGATGAGCGGGAGCGTTTCAGCTCCGAGGATTCACGGTTTAATATTGACGGAGAGCGGTTAAAGGGTATAAGCGATTTCCTGTCTCTCCGCAATGAGGGCGACTATTCGGTGGAATCAATCCTTCGCCTCGTACTTTTTTCCGACCTTCCCTTGTTACGTCATCATTCAGACAAAAACACTGTAGGCGAGAACGCTCAACTCCAGCGAAGCTCTTCATCCCGCTCGGATTGCTGCAGACGAGGCTCCACCTATCCCTAGAGGCCCGAAAATGACAAAAGTTTCCATGCTTCGGTCTAGACTTGATGAGCACATCCTAACTTGGATCTCATGACCCCGTTGCGCAGACAGTCTGCCGCAGAAGTCGAGGAAGAATGCGCATCCCAAGATATTCATGATAACTGGGAGAGAACGGAGAACCTCTCTTCTCAATTGATGTTGCGAATGCTTGTATCTTTCGCCGATTTCTCACCTGAGGAAGTTGAGAAGGAATCCGGCGACACCCTTGCCTGCGAGATACTGCTCGATTTCGCAAATGGTTCGTTGTTTGCATTCGAAGTCGTCGACGTGCAAAACGCGGAAAATCTGCTCGGGATAATCCACCTCCTTGAGACTCCTGAGGGTCGACATGAAAGGTTCCATGGCTTGTCGCAGCATTTTCACTTCCTCGACGCGTAGTTGGGGTATTCCTCGAGGCTGGATCCATTCGCCATTCCTAGAATTCACGGACATGTCAATTCCTCGTGAGCGAGCGAACACAGGACCCTGCGGATCGAGAGGATATGGCATTCCATGGAAGCTTGTTTGAGGGAGAGGACTCCTCCCTCCATCACGTTCGCGTGACGGTCAGCACATGGGTTAGCAGCTGCTCATTGCGCGAGCTCTGGAATATGAATACGAGGGAGATGCGTGTCACGGAAGAACATCCACAGTAGCTGCTTCCCCCCCCAAGCCTCCTATCGCTACTGAATTATGCTGAGGGGCGACGCCTTCTCCGTCCCGTTAAACCATTGTGAGAACCGGTGAGTGATCTAGGGTTGGATGCTCATTGGGCTTTGATGCTCAATCGCCGCGTGGTCTCAGGGAAAAACTTCCTGCTCGCAATAAACTAGTGAATCCTCAGAAGGTAGGTCGAGCGGCGATATTTTCTTCTATCTGGCTGCTCCGAAGGCGGCAGTGCGCACTGGCAAGCCCGGAGATGAGAAGTGATTGCGAACGAGGTCACTCTTACTTTGAAGTCTCTGAGCGAGAAGCTAGGCTCAAAGAGAATCTTAGGTTTAAATAGATCGTCGGCTAAAATGTTCTTCTCGCAATTAAGCGAATGGCTCGGCGCGCTGCGTAGGACGGACTCCGACAGTCGAGTCCAAGGAGGAATACGCGGCTTAGCGGGCAAGCCACGATATGAATGGTGGTCTCTCTGAGACTTGTCGCGCGGTCTTCCCCAATACGGTCATCGATAGGGCTCTAAATAATTGTATGATAATTCTGAATACTCGATATGAGTTCCATAATCGACATCGGGGAAGAACTTCTTACATTCTTGAAGCCTATCAAAATTACATTCGACGACGGCTGATCAATCCGCTTCCCAGGGAGTCTGCAGGTGGATATTCCGGGAGAATCACTCATTATCATCGAGCTCGATGAGTTGTCTCATTGCTTGACTGCCCATTGGCAATGGAGCGCCCAGCTGGCTCCTCAATTTCCGCGGAGCATTTGTCTCAGCAACGATAATTTCCTACGATTGGAGCTATTTTCCGAACACTATTGTCCCGAAGAATTCTCCTTGAAGGGGAAGAGATTCCAAGCGACACATTCCTCCTCGACGATCTGATTCTCTCAAATAGGGGAAAACCCGCTAGGGCACCGCACAGAATCTTCGATTTGGTCATTCCCTCGAATATCTTGAAGGTTTCGATCTCAATCCGCGGCCATAACCATTATTTGAAGACTACATTGGCGGTGAGTGCAAGCACTCCGCGTCGGAGCGAGTGGGCGTTGATGAGGCGTTACTCTATGATTTTGGATTTCTGTGGTTGGCAAATTTCCGTTTTGGGGGCGCTCCTAAGCCTCACCGAGGCGAGGGTCCAAAGTTGACAAAATTCGTCGAAATGCGAAGGTGGAAACTCGAGCCCACTCTTCGGGCTCGGGGCGCGTCATCTTTCACTTGAATGGTCGGAATAGTCGGCAACGCGCCCACCGCCATTGACAGAGAACAACGCTGGCAGCAGCGGCAACGGCGAAAGCGGCACGACCGTTGTGAACGACAGCGATTTCGCTGAGAGCTCGCCTTCGAAATTTGCTTCCATGACCTGCCTTGTATCGGCTTCTAGGAGGATTCTGTCGGTAAGACTCGACTCGGCATACGATTTCTGCTCGCGGAACAAATGCGGTCGCTTTCCGCGGTATCTCGTTAGAGCGCTAACGGCTTCAGGTTCCAAGGGAACGAACAGAGTTTTGTGAGTCCGTGGGCCCTCCCGATGTTAACAATTTGCTTTTATCCACGCTAACGATCCTTCTGCGATAGGACACGTTCCCCGATCTCTGCCGAATCGAGCTGCATTACCATTGGAAGAATCTCACTGGGTTGATATCTGCACGTCTTGCGCCGCGATCCATAACCAAGACCCTGAGCATCTGAAGGAACCCCCGACGGGGCGTCTTCTTTTTGAGCGGAAGTCTGCGCTATCAGTGTTTAGATTCTCTCGAGGGAGACAAAGGGTCGATGAGAAATGCAGTCGTTGACCCAGACTGTCGGATAAGAAGGCTGCTTGATCGCTTTTCACGATGGGCCGAGAAATGAATTTTAGACATCGTGAGGATGGACGCTCGCTTGATGCTGGTCGAACGATCGCTGCCAATCTCAGACTCTGTCCAGCTCCTACCCGTCGGCCCTCCATCCTCTCATCGATGCATTCAGTCAGGACTCGGGCCCACGTCGAAGAGCGACGCTGTAGATAAGACCCCGTTAAACGCCAGGCAAGCCCGGTGGCGATTGAGAAGTCGTTTACACCCGCTCGGTGATCCCACGAATTGCCCCATGCAACAGCAAGCAGCTGCTGTACAGAAGTTTCCCTCGGCCGGGAGCCCGGAGATATCCAGCAGTGCACGAAAAGGAACGTGTCTCGATAGTAGGAGCAATAATTAGATTGCGGCAAACTCTTACCTCTTCTGAATGGGTGGATAGCCGGGAATTCTCGGCAAGCCCTTGTCAAGGTTTTGATCCGGCGCGTCGGGGAGAACGCCCGGGTAGCCAGCGATGGGGCCGCCGGGGTGACCCAGAGTAGCAGCGCCTAACGGGGAGCCGAGGGGAGGGAGACCCGGTGCACCGTTGAGGAAGTTCTCACCAAACATTCCCAACATCGTTGCGTACAAGAGGAAACCCCCTCCAACAGCTGCCAAGCCTCCAGAAACGGTGTTAAGCAATGCGCTCATCGCTCCGGCACCTGCGGACCGATAGGAATCACGGATAAACAACTTTGACCACTTCTCGATTGGGGCAGAAAAAAAGGTCCCTATTCCACCCGACCAATTCTTCTCAGACGACGCCGACGATGGTCGGGATTCCACAGTGCTCTTCCAAGAATAGACCCTCCGTCCGTATATTCCACACGAAGAGCTCCAGGAGAAATAAATCCAGCACGTCGAGACCTCACAGCTCTTTCGGGCTTGTTTGTTATACCGCGTTTTTGGACTCCTCGAGGAGAGGAAATTGTACACTAAGGCTACTCCGAGGAGCTGTGCGTGAGATGATGGATGGTTTCCGGGTACGAGTTATTCGGAGGAGATCCTCCTGGAGGAATTCTGAGAGATTCTCGCGCGGATTTCTAAATACTAAGGTAGGTCTATGAAAGCCTCTCTCCGCTGCCGGATGGATTGGACTGCCCCTCCCCTCTCCCGCGTATCCAAGATCATTATGCCTCGCCATCGGAGATCCTAGTCGGTGCAGAGATAACATCGCAACTGACCTTGTCGCAGGGCCTTGCGAACTCCGAATTTCTGCTTGCCCTGCACTTCTTCAGGGTAGACGTGCTCATAGACGGTCTCGTTATTAATGATTTTCGTTGTGTAGTTTTTCGGGATGATAATTGGTGGAAGGGTCGATCTGGAAGGATAATCGATGACTTATCGGCCGCACTGACAACTCTGGAAATATTCGGCAGCTGTTACCACAACTATTAATACGTGGACACCGGAACAAATCGAAATAGCGAAGACCCTCACCGTAGCTCGAATATCCGCGTGCCCCCGTGTCGCTTCGATGAGGCCGCTACGGATGAAGTCCCTATGACGTTGGTATTTCTGGAATAACCGATATGTTTTAAGTCCGCCTGAGTTTCGCACCACTTATTCAAATACACCGGACAGATCTCGCGATCGGATTTGAATCGCAAGCAACACCAGCTGCCGGGCTCCTCTCCCTCTGCACAAAAAAAACGGACGCGCTCCCTGCGGAGCGCCGACCGCAAAATATTGAGCGGCGACAGTCTTGAGTGCCTTTGTCGAGCTCCGGCCTGCTGATCTACGCTCCTGTTTCCCCGTTCGCAGACCTGTAACGGTCAATTGGAGATTCTCTTCGATGTGCGACGGTTTCCTCATAGGACCGGATTAGAGATCATCCAATCCAGTCGGGTTTCAGGGTGGAGAATAATTCTTGATGTTATGAGCATCGCATCCTCCGGACACGCCTGAATCGGGGTCAAAGTCGACGTGTCGCACATGACATGTAGAACTCGGGCTGGCCGGAAATGGATTTTTCTTGCTCAAAGCTCGCGGTGCCTAGCCGTCGACTTTGCATACTCGGTACGCGGTTTCGATGTATCAAGCTCCTCAAAGTAGGAAAAAAAGCGTCGCCATCTGTTCGGGAGAAGGTTTGGCTCCGGGCAGCGCCAACACTGAGCCCAATGAATTCTCGATCATTAGCCAACTTTAAATCGTTCGTTGTGCAAGAGAGAGAAGTAGAGAATTTCCATCGCGGGTGGATCTCTACCATCGATACTCGTCACAATTGCCTCTATCCGTATCCTGTGATCGAGGCAGACCTGGATAACGCCGCGGAAGTGTTCCGAGATAGGGGTAGACCGCGAAGCGCTGCACGGAAGCGCCATCCGACCGAACGAGACCCATGGAATCTGATCTCGAGTGGATTTCGATGGAGGTCGCTGCTCGGGTGATCAGGTTCGAGCTTTGATAGTCAAGACTTTGCCCGAGAGCATACATGCGATCGGGCGAGAGACCGCCGTGATAGGGTGCCGCTGGTTCCATATGCTGTCAACGAGCGAAGTGACCTCGGAGTGGAAGGCGCATTCGGGCACGGGGAGCTCTTAGCTCGATTGATTGACGACCTTCCGTTACCCATTGAAAGAGTTCCTGCATTCCTCCGGCCTGGAGTTCTCTTCTTCCTCAGCCCCACCATTCCTAAGAGTTCTAAAACTTCGCGAGATCCACTCGAAGATGCTCGTCCAACTTACCCGGGAGAGAAATACACTGGACGGCTCTTCGCCACGGTGCTTCCAACGGTGTTCGAGTCACCCGCCGCAACATTGGCGAAGAGTAGCAATGGAAGAAGCATTGGCTTCATTGTGTCACTTTTTCCTGGGACGCCAAAGTATCGGGTTCGCACTCCTGGATCGGCTGCTAAGCACACACTGTACCGTCGGCACCGTTTATCGCGATTGTACGCTTCGTTTCCACTCGCGCTACTCGACAGAAACTATACGATCTTACCGGAAGCCGGTGCTTTTATGCGACTGGGAAGGGTTGAGACGCCTACAGGGTTTTGGTTCCAGAACAAGCGACGTCACCCGGCGAGCTTGAGCTCAAACGTCACGAGTCGTGGGTCGCCCCCTGGGTTTCTGTTCGCCCGCTTGGTGCATCGACGGAGCGACGTATATCGGGCCCATGGGCGGGGTTCAATCACTGGAGACATTATGAGCGGCGGCCGACGCCGCCGTACCTGTTCGCGCGATTTCCGCTTCGCGACGTGATTTCAAGAGCAGCAGAATGAAGCATGTCCGCCACGTGTAATCGCCGGCCGGATGACCGAAGTGCGGGTGATGAGCTTCTACGCCGACGTTTCAAGAAACAGATTTATTGATGCTGTTGTCGAAACGTGAGATCGAAACACGAGTCGACTATTAGCTTTGGGGCCCAATATGTTTCGTTCAAAGATGCTTTCCGATTGGGGAGAGTAGGACTCAGGAAATGAAAGCAAACTTTGGCACCGGTCTTCGGAAAGAGTTTTTATGCGATGCTATGTTTCATTCGGGGCCAATAGAATCTTTCATTGATGTCTATTTCCTTGCAAAAACCAATCGTTTCTAGATGCAATCGCATGCTTGCCGCTTTCCGGCCCCGCTACTCGGATTGATGGCGAACCGATCTCGCTCCGGAGACTCGCAAGATGCACTACCTAATAGATATCCTCCTCTCGAGTCGAGCATCCCCAGTTTATCGCACAGCGGAACGCTCTTCCGACCAGCTGTTTTCAAGAGCTATATATGCTTGGACTCGTCTGGATAGATATTCGGTTCAGCACTCCAAGCACGGATTCGGATCGAGCTGCATTTCCAGAAAACCACAAGATTTTCTCTCAAGCCCGATCATTTCAGCCACGAACGCGATGTTGTCCGGATTCCGCGAGCGAGGTTTGTGCAAAAGGCTGGAGGCGATTTTTCCCGTGCTGCATGTCCTCGAATGCCGTGTACGTACTTATCGCAGCATCCATCAGCCATATGACTAATCTTGAGGTAACGGATCCAACGACAAGAACCTGATGAGTTTGGTGTTTGGGATGTTCCGCCCGAGGCGCTTCCCGATTCGCAGCTCCTCGCTCCATACGCGGACGATGGGAGAGCCCGTACGGGAAGGCCTGGAACCTTCAGCAGGAAACGTTGGAATATGGAACGTTGTGGAGATCAGCTTCAGTTTCCGCTGAACTAACGAGTTTCCGCTATCTCCGATCCGCTTAAGGGGAGTCAGCCGGGATATTCGAGTGAGCTTTCCGCGAACCAGCCGGGAGGGAACGGGTCTCGACTCTTCTCTTCAAACAAAATAATATCGAGTCGACGAGATCGTCAATAGCTGGATTCCATGCTCACCATGAGCATAGAATCCAGCCGCTAGCTTCCCGTTGACAATAAGCAGATATTAGAAATCAGAAACAGGATCTTCGAAGCTCTGGACGTTTCCGCTTGTGTCAGCATCCGCTTCATTGCTACAGGCGACGTCGTTCAACTCCCACACGCCACTTCGCTCACGGGACCGCCATCGCTTTCTCTTCTGGATGATACTATCTTCTAGCGCCGCGCCACCAGAGCAAACCCGTGAGCTTCCAACGGCGACCGGTGCGGTAAAATCCTCGCGTAGCCCTCGGCGTATGCTTATGTCATCAGAACTTTCACGCGAGAAGCTCTCAGGTCAGAGCAGAAGTTCTCGTCTTCTACGTTTCTTCCCCCCGAATAAATTTGCATGAAATTCGAAACGGTGATCGATAGGTCAAGAGATCGGCGTGTGTGAACATCTCAATCGATGTCAGTAGCTTTCGCCTGCCCGGTCGGATCGCTTCGCTTGCGCGATGAATTTTCGAATCCAGTCGCATCTGATACTAGATGATTCTCATCTTCAGTCAATATTCTCACGTGAGAATCTTATTTGCTCCGAGGAGGTCCTTATCAATAAGATCGAGACCGGGAACACCATTATCCATGCGAGTCGATATATTCTAGCATCTTCTCTGAGGAGAAGCACTGCGTTTATGCATCCCCCTTCCCCCTATAGAATAAAGCAGTAATGTCGGTCCGTCATTGTACCAAATATCGGGGTTATTTGTCTGTCAAAAGACTTCAAGTTACTTTGACTCGATGCCGAATCATTCCCGCTAGCGTAAGAAGTACTTTTCCACTCGATCAATCGCATCGTTCTCGAGTTATTCCGGAAAATTATCAAGTTTTTCTCCAGTGTTCGCTGGAAACGAAATCCTCTCCACCACTTCTCTCCACATGATGCCACGACCGTTCCGGCAAGGCGCGCGATTCGAGAGACGTCGCAGCAGCCTACTAATTTCAGCATGATCTAATTTGATAATGATAATTTCTCCCCCTATAGAATAAAGCAGTAATATCGGTCCGGCATTGAACCAAATATCGGGGTTCTCCACTCGATCATCAGAGGAGAATCGAGAGCTACGAGATCGAACGTAATGCTTTCCAAAATTTCTTCTATAATTCTTTAGCGTATCTGATAAGCGATGCCCATATATTTCACCTGTTTCATTACTGTGCAATCATTTCTCCTGCTCCATGGGAGCGATGGGAGAGTCCGACTCTGCATCCATATATCTTTTTGAACTCCAATCAGAGTTTTCTGTCGTGAACATCTTCGACAAAAGAACTTTGGGACTCACGCGCGGTTTGCCTACATTCTTCGAGAGATTCAGTGACAAGTACGAGAGACCTAAGCAGTGTTTTTTTGTGATCTGTGGAGTTTCGTCGCGAGGCTCAGAGGTCTCCTCATTGAATTCGCCATGCCCAAGATAAGTCGGAGGCGTTGCTTCAATTCGCCCGCGAATCGACCCGTGAATAGAGATTCCAAACTGTAAGCACAGTTGTGAATGCTCATGCGTCGTGCTATCATTGAGATATCAGATAGGCATACATCGGACAAAGGGAATCTCCATATCAGATATTCCTCAGAACAATAACTGCCGATTACACACGACAAATTCGTTCAGGCCTGCGAAAGCATCGCATCATTTTTCTCATGCTAATTCATGTGTTCATGCTCTTTGGTATCGTACTCATTCATTGCGAATCGGTATCACGCTTTCCGTCGTAATCACTCGACAAACTCGCTCGGGCCTTGGATAGAATCGCATCCGGCGTGCGGGCAATTGAGCCGCGAGGGCGCGGAGCGCCCTCCCGGCTCGTATCATATATGTAGGTAGGTAGTATTGTAGAATCTTCTCGACGTATAACATCTTTCCCCTAAATGGGGAGGTCGGCTGGTCCAAAGTCGCGTCGGCGCTCGTGCACACCTCAATGATGGACAAGAGAGAACTGGTTTCGAATATTCGAGGCTCTCATTCGGAGCTGTAAGCCCGCTGATAAAGATAGAGCCGTTCCGCAAAGCAGTAAATGAGGGCTTACCTGACGCAATCAGGAATTTTCAACCCCGTTCTGAATGACTCAACCAGAATTATAACTATCGGGCTCGAATGAGTAGTGGAGGATCGGAACCGTGTGGAGAGGGGGGCAAAGGGGCGATTGTGGGAAGAATCGGGTACCTCTATTCCTGTTCCTGAAGTGCTGAAGGATGATTATACGATTTCTGACAGCTGCTCGAGAGTGTCCACGGAGACAGGAAACGCTGAGGCTAACTCCGTCAGTGACAGATAAGTGGTTGATGGAGACCTCGATTGATCGAGTCCACGGTCCGGGTAGCGGCTGAAATTCTTATGAGCATAACTCCGAGTGACCAACATCCAAGCGGTATTTCCACTCGAGAGATGATAATTCTCCGCCTTGAGGCCTCATCTCAACGCAACACGCTCCGCCACGTCTCGAAAGGTCACGAGTACTTCAGCCGTGTACTGAGAACATCTCAGCTCCCTTTGAAAATACCGGAATGCTGACACGGAACTGAAGGAGCGAATTTCTCAGCCGGGTTGATCATATCGGAATCATTAGAGCGGAGGTCTATGGAGAATCTCCTCTCAGGCCACGGGGAATCGGGCGACAATCTACTCAAGAACAGAACTACGCCGAGGGAACCCATTGAGTGGGATCCAGGGGTAGGAATGATGATTCGTCTCTCGGCCGCGAACTCGCTAGAAGTACGAGGGGCTCGGGCTCCCGATATCGAGAGTCCGGCGCCTCCATTCATGTGCGGTGTCCATACCGTGGTCGGCTTCCGAAAGCCGAGATGAGATCGCAGACAAGTCTTGTGAGATTTTTCCAGTCGGTTCGCGCCCTCTGTCCCTGACAGCCGGGCTCAGAAGGAGGTAGTCGCTCGCGCTGCGAACTACGGAGAGCTCTTCAAGTCCAGTCGGGAACTGCGAGCGATATATGAATATTCATGGCGGAATCACCTTCACAAGGTCGGGTTCAGACGCGAGCACCCTACGCTCGATGGAAAATCCACACAGAGACACGGGAGACGATTTCCCTGGCAACGGTCCCTCGTCACCTTCCGGAACGATCCCTCGCTTTAGCGATCGCTACCTGTTCTCGTTAAGTGTCTGATCTTGAACTGCTCTTGATGGATAGAAAATATTTATTCAATCCTTCGTGCTCTGGGATCGAAGCGACGGCTATTTTGATATTCGGTCCCACTCGTCCAAGAGCTGGTTGTTCCTTATTGGCCCTTCTTTCTCAGACGAGAATCTGACAAAACTCGCCGTCCGGTCGCGACAGAATTCTCGGAAAAATCCGAGAACCGTGGCCAGGAATTTCAGGGGAAAAGAGAGCTAACCCTGTCGGTCGTAGGGAAAACCTTGTCGGATGACCTCGAGAGACAGGCCGAAAATTGACGTTCCTGTGACTCGGGACACCCCTTCCCCCCCGTCCTTCAGGGGTAGACTGA